GCCTGGCCACCACGTCCCTCCTGCTGCCGGCCTTTCGCTCTAACTGGGTCATCACAGCAGTCTCATAAAACCCATTTTTGAGATAAGAAAGCATCCAGCCCCTGCGCTGCAGCCGCTTTTTCATGGGACTGTGTGGTCGGCTCCGAGGACCTTCACCGGCAGCCGACTCCAACCTTCTGGCTTTATCCACCGGCCCGGCACCCAGCCCCAGCTGCAGGAGCCAAATGATTTTCCTGGCTTCCTTCCCCAGAGAGACGTTGGGGTGGTGAGGCCGAGGGACCCAGGCAATACCCGAACCGCGGTCCACGAGGCTGTAAAGCCCAAACCGGGGCTTTAGAGATCACTTCCCTCTCAGACACTTCCATTTTCTTGGACCGTCGGTGTGATGCTCGGCTCCAAGCCCGGAGCAGCGGGGTCAGGACCCAACCCACCACCCCTCAGAATGGATCGCTCAACCGCAGGCAGGGAAACTCTTCTCCTTTTGGAGGAAATGCTGCCCTCCACCTCCCAGAAGTGAGTACGCTTGAGGAAAAGCTCTCTGTTGGCTGAATAACGAGGCTCGAAGCAGCTGAGGGGCACCCAAAGTTTGCCTCCGCCAGCTGCTAACATCTGGGAGCTGAGGCACCTCTGAAGAAAAAGGCTTCTCACAGGATTCCCGCGCCAGTCGTGCAGCCGGCCGGCATCGGTAAATCCGCTGGCAGCCGGCCCAAGGTTGGGACCCAACTTCAAGCCCCCCAAAAAAGGCAGCTTGGGGGAGATAACGCACCTCCAGCCCCATGGGCAGCTGCTGCGAGTGAGGGGGGGGTGAGTTTCTACCCACCGCCCGTGCCTAAAACGCAGGCCGAGGGATTCCCCTGCCTAAGGACCAGCTTCTCTCCAGCCCTTGCCACCACTCCGGGATGGGAACCGTGTCCCACCATGGCAACCGGCAGCTCTCTCCTAAAACCCAAGAATTTGGCTTCTTGCTTCCCAAGGGCTGGCAAAACCAGTATTCACACCCCAAATCCCAGTACCTGGCTCTCCCGGCGACTACAGGCGGTACAGACAGCCCTATGGTTGTGGCACGGAGAGGGATCAGCCCCGAGCCCCTTTTATTTTCGGTCGCGGGAAGAGTCCAGGCATGGGCATGAAGGGGACAGATTGAATTCCCGTCTCTAGACCAAGCTCATGGAGCCCGGTTGCCGCCCTCGGGGAATCCTGTCCCCCCTCTGCCACCAGCGTACTCAATTCTGGGAAATGAGAGGCATCATTTGGGGTTTGGAAAGTGTTTCTGGCAGGGCCACGTCCATCCCTGGGTGTCGTCTACCAGCACTATCACACTATGTGGGTACTTACCAGTATCTCACCCTTTAGGTGCGCAAAATTAAGGGGGAGAAAAAAAAAAGCAGGACAAGGAGACAGAACAGTGAAGAAAAACGAAGTGATGGAAGGGAGAAGAGAGCAGGAAGCACAAAAATGGTAGGAAAAAGCAGAAAAACAGCAAAAGAAAAACAGTTACATGCTATTAATTATAATTTTACAGTGTTAATATCTCATTACATTCTTTCCAAACGAGAGGCAGTGTCTGCGTTAGGTACCGCAAGACCTAACACCATGCAAGGGGGCACTTCCAGTCCCGCTCTCAGTCATGCACGCCGGACAGCAAACGCCCTCTCG